TCCAAACACACAGAAGTTCCTGGTCAGGCAATAGTGCCAAATTAAGTTTTAAACTGCAGTGTGCTTTGTTGCCATGCTCAACTCACCAATATCCTCAAGGCTCTTCTTTATACTGCTCTAGCTAACTGCAGGTTCATTTTGTAGATCAACTGAGACCTAACGGATCCTTCTACCATTATTGTGCACTCTCACCGCTTAACATAAAGGCCACTAGGCACACTTCAGAATACCTAACACAGCACAGCAGTTACCAAAAACACAGCAACACCTTTTTAGAAACTACTTTGTGTTCAAGACTTTGCTGCATTTCTGTTTCCCTTCAGGCCTGTGCACGTGTGTAACAGAGCAGCAGAGAGCAGCATACCCTGCACCCAGAAAAGCACACGCACCTTGGGACTTGTCCTTGTAACGTGTCTGTCCACTTGAAATTCTGAATATATCTCAACTTGCACTCTTGGGAAGAGTCATCCAACGAAAGGATAAAACCTATGGAATAATAAAACAGGCAATCTCAAAGTAAGAAGCAGAAATTAGTAATGAAGGAGATGGATCAATATGAATATAGATATAGATAAAAGAATGTTTCTTGCTGAACCCCTCAAAACCCCATGTTACTTCCTGGGATTTTTATTCCTCAGTACCTTGAGAACAAAATGTGGAAAAAACCAGCTGGCTACTCCAGGAAACTGCTTGCCCAGCATGTTACCAACTCAATTCTGAGAATCTTGACTGCTCAAGGAAAACCTGGCAGATTTCTGCATGTCCCATATGGTGACAAGTTGGGAGTGGGACTAGCCCAGGTACAGGATGGCTGAGGGTGTTCAAGGTGAGTGAGTGGCTGTCACTGCCACCATACTGCCAACCAGGAAATTCCAGGAAAGGCTGCCTAGTCAACAGGGAGAGGGAAAAGGGCTTCTACGCATGGGCTCACTTAGTCATCATCTATCTTCAGGGCTACAGGAAATTCATTCTTTATGTCCAGTAGCCCAGAAAACAGCAGTTAGTGGGATGAGGCTCATGCTATGGGATGTTCAAATCCTAGCATATGCAGGCCCAGGAAATTTTAGTGAGGCTGAAGAAGGGCCGTGGTCTGATCAGGTCTTACAGACTTTAAGAGGTCAAGAGCCTGCCATAGCAGCTACTGGGGCTATACCTGTCAGTGTGTCACATATTTATAAAATCAGAAAATACTTGTTCCTTTCACATGCAGAAGATTTTAGTGGCCAAGCACAATATTTTCCTGAAGAAACTATTCAAATCTTGGCTGTTGCAACAGGGACTCTTATCTGACCTTTAGATGTGACATTAGCCTACACCCTCCCAGGAGCTCATTAAACCAATGTTTACTTCCCACAGACTGAAAGACCTCACTTTCCACAAATCAGCTGATTCCTGAAAACTCAGTACTAAGAAACCTGGCTGAGCACCTGACTGCTAAGAGTTACCCAAATAATGGCAGAAGGAAGGTTTCAAAGGAATGTGTCAGCACAGCTGAACCACCTGCTGAAAATGCAAATACCATGCTAATGAGCACCTACATATATATACACACCTAAGATAAGCAGCAGTAGAAGGTAAACTTGCAACAAGTCTATGGTCTAGTATTAGACAAACCAGCAGTTTACACTGAATACTAAATGGAATAAACTAATTAATAGACTCAATTTATACTTAGGGAGCAACTCACCACTACCTAAAAGACAAATACATGTTTTCTCCTCCAAGAGGAAGCAGAATTAGGTTAAAGGCAGGAGGGCAGGGCTGCCAGCACTTAGTATTGGCAGGGTCACAAAGGATACTGAAACTTGGAGAAGGGGCCTGGTGAGCACTGGTATCAAGCACAGAACCCATGAAGATACTCTCCTTCCTGAGAAGCACAAAGCTTCCTTACGGGAGATCAGCACAATTAATATTCTGGGATGTGCCATTAAAATGGAACTGATACTTATCTTTGATGAATTAGTAGTACTGCTAATAAATCTCCCTACCTTGCAGGAGTGAGAAGTAGATGTCAGCTGCATTCTTCATCATTTCTGGATTACAACTTGAGTCTGTAAACAGCTCCAATAGCTGTGTTCGAGACAACCGCAAGTCACTAAATGAAAGGAGAAAAAAACCCTAAGAAATCCTATTAAAAATGTACCAATACAGAAAAATCTTCCTTTCTCCTCTGGATACATATGACTGGACCTACAGCAGTGGATAATCAGTACTCAATCTACTGTTCTATCACTAACTAAAATGACTGTGCCTTTACCTACCAAGAGGTGGGGTGCACAGAAAGGAAAGGGAAGCAACAAGCAGGAACATTCAGGACATTAGAATGGGATGATGAGATGAAGAGATGAGAATAGATCTGCAAAATAGGCTGAGATCCCTTTTCATTACATTCCTATCCACAACAGAACAGTCAGGCCCTATCCACTTACGGAAATTAAGCAATCAGGAATGCACAGTCATCAGAAAGACAATGAAGTGTTTAGTCTTTTGCCTCTGCATTGTTTTAATTGGCCTTGCTGTGCACTCAGAGACTGGAGAATTCATTCTCTGTAAGCAAACGTTCTGTGTTAGCAGTGTCTTACTGCCTCCCTGCCTACACATCTCTAGTCATCTTCAGCTCAAAAACTGAAGAGCAACCATTACTTTGAAGGATGTTCCCCAAACTGTAAGAGGCAGAGTGAAGCAAGTCCCAAGTACACTTACTTGCAAATCTTTGCTGCAGCTGGAGTGGTGGCTACCCCATAAAAATTAAATGAAACAGGAGCTGTAGCCTTCAGAGGGTTGCGATGGAACCAGTGGGTCATTTTTTTCCTGCCGTGTTGTTTATGCCAAATCTAAGGAGTGGAAAGGAAAGAACAGCTGCAGGAACAGGTACAACTGAGGTGCTGCAAATGTCCTGGTCTCTGCTCGCAAAAAGATATTCCAAATATAAATAACTAATTTGAAATTAACTTCTTTTTTTTTCCCCATTTGAAATGCCAAGCTTCCCCATCTGAAATGCCTCGTGCTTATTATCCATGTGCTTTGTGTTAGAATTACACTCTCTTGAAATACAAATGCTTTCTGACGCAACTATTTTAAGTTAGGCAAAAAGCTACCACCTACTTTCCTCTATGTGAGCACACACATTGCTAGTAAAAAAACCTCCACATTTGTTACCTCCTGCATAAGGCTGAACATATCTGTAAATTACATGAGAAATATCTCAGAATCACAGAATCAATTAGGTTGGAAAAGACCCTCAGATTACTGAGCCCAACCTTGTGAGATCATTACCATGTCAACTAGACCATGGCACTTCGTGACATGTCCAGCCTTTCCTTAAAGGCCTCCAGGGATGGAGGTGGGTGACTCCACCTCCCTGGGCAGCCCATTCCAATGTTTAACAACCCCTTCTGTGAAGAAATCCTTCCTAATGTAATACCTGAACGAACCTCCCTTGGCAGAGCCTGAGGGCCCTTCTTCTAATCCTGTCACTTGATACCTGGAAGAGGCTGATCCCCAACTTGCCACAACCTCCTTGCAGGGAGTAATAAGGTCACTCTGAGACTCCTTCCTCCTTTCCAGGCAAAATTTCAATTCACTGAGATCATTATACTGCGCTTGATCCATCTGTGAATAGTTCATTTGGGAGCCTTTGGTATACACGAACCTGCAACCACAAACCCTGACTAAAAACATGGATCTATTTACACACGTGTATCAGACCGGGAAGGTTGGGAGGACAGAGATAAAGCCGACTCTCTCTTTTCTTTCGCTTCAATTTCAACAGCCAAATATAACACAAGCATTGCAGTGAGTTTTACAACAGCAGTGCGGGTTGATGGAACATACTGGACACATCCTGAACGTGGGAGGTAAAACGTCACCATGAGGACAGAAAAACTGAGGAGCAAGTTGTGTACTCTCCATCTCAAAAGTTTTCCAGACCTCACGGGACAAAGCCCCGAGCTCCTAGTGTGAACTCGGAGCTGCATCTGCTCTGAGCAGGACGCTGGACCCGACGCCCCCTAGGACCTCTATCATCCCGCGGTCCTTTTGGAATCCCTTCAGTTCATCCCTACAAAAACACTCTACAGCTTTGTTGAGAAACAAACAAACAAAACCAAAACAGACCCAAGAAGATCTGCCAAGCACAGGTTCCCCGGCACGGCCCAGATCCCCCAGACCGAGCAGGGGGTTCGTTCATCGCGTCGGCACCTATTGCGCCACGCTTACCGCCGACACTTCTCGGGGTTTGTCCGTCAGGCCAGCGGCTGCCGCGCCGTGCCCACCCCCCTGCGCAGCGCTGCTGTCCCCGCGGGGTCACGGCCCGGCCCGGAACGGCCCCTGCGAGGATCTCGCGGCCGCGGGACCCCGGCCCGGCCCCGCCGCTCCCAGCGGTGCGTCACGCGCACGCTGACGCAGGCAGCGCCAGCCGAGAGCCGATGGCACCGCCCCATCGCGGCCGATCGCATCGACCCTGCCGCTCGCCCTCCTCCCCACCGGAGTCCCCGGGCCGCCGCCAACAACAGCCCTGCGGGTGTAGGGCGTCCCCCCGGGACAGCGGCCGCCGGCGTGGCCGGGGCCCACAGTCCTTCCGCGGGAAGGACCCTCGAACGCCACCAACACCGGCAGGAGCGGGGACGCCAGCAAACCAGCAACGGCACCGGCCCTCCCGAGGGGCGAAAGCCGCCTGCGGTGCTGCGGGGGGGCGCCGGGGCTTACCTAGGGGCGGGCCTGTGGCGGCGGCTCGGCCGGGAGCGGAGGGAGGAGCGAAGGGAGGAACTGATTGACCCCCCGGGCCACGTTCGTGCGCACGTGACCGGCGCCATGACAGGTACCGGGGCGGAAGTAGCGCCTTCGCCTCGATAGCGATGGCGCGGGCGGGCGCGGCCGGCGCCGCCTCCGCGGCTGGGCGGTGCAGGCGGGAGGCGCCGCCGCGCTCGGGTGTCCCGGGGCGGTGCCGTGCCGTGCCGTGCCGTGCCGTGCCGTGCCGTGCCGTGGGCGCGGGACTAGCGGGAGCGGCTGTACGGCGCTGTAGGTGCCCCGGCGCGGGGTGAGCATGGTGCCCTAGCACTGGGGCTATGTCGGAGGCGGCCCGCAGTCTCCTGCAGCGCTGGGGCGCCAGCTTCAGGAAGGGTACCGACTTCGACTCCTGGGGGCAGCTGGTGGAGGCGATCGACGAGTATCAGATGTGAGTGCGGGCTCGGCACGGCCCCGGCGTCCCGGGCGAGGCGGCGGGGTGAGGGAGCGGCCCCGGCTGGGGCGGGGCAGGGCAGGACAGGGAGCCCCGCCGTACCCAGGCCGCGGCCCCCTCGCCCCTGGGGCCCCGCTGGCGGCTCTGGCCCTTCCCCAAGGCGCGGGGCCAGGAGCCGAGGAGTTCCCTCGGGGGGTGCCCGGCAAGGCGGGAGCCGGCCGTCCCGCTCTCTTGGGAGGTCGGCAGCGGCCGGCGTGGAGCTTAGAGCAACCTGCTTTGGTAGAAGGTGTGTCCCTGCCCATGGCAGTGGATGGAACAAGGTAATCTTTAGTGTCCCTTCTACCCCAAACCAGGTTGTGATTTTGAGAGCGTGGGCTGCCGGAATGGTTTGTTGATGGAGCCCCCGATGCACCACTGGACCGGGATGCTCCCATTCCATCATCCTGTTGTCTTGGCACCTTGCTTGTGGCAATGGAGTGACCTGGCAAATGGGCTGCCTAAGTATCAGCCTTAACCAAAAAAACTCCACACAACCCATCAGAATGAAAAGGGGTCCATTGCATGCTTGTGTGTTGTGTCCCTGATGGTACTAGGGTGGGAGAGTGGAGAACCTGGCCTCAGTCAGGTTGGCTGGCACAGGGTGTGACTGCACCATCCATGACTCCTGTGGTAGCAGAGGAGTATTGGCTACGGGGCTCTGATGATGGACTCCTTGGAAATGCACCTGGTACCTTTAGTCAGATGTTCTTCCCTACTACTCCATTTGCCATGACAATGAAAATTATTTCTTTGTGATTGCAGTATTTCAGGCCAGGCTTCTCATGGTGAATTTTCTGGAAGTTGACAAGAGGGTTCACACTTGTTTGCCAAGAGAAAGTCAACTGAAGAGATGCTCCCTGAGGGATCTTCTAGCACTGTTCAGGACAAGTTGGGTTCTAACCACGTTGGTTGCCAGTTCAGTTGTCATTCAGAGTAACTGGTCTGCTGGCCACACACTGGTTGGTCAGGAGAGGCTGTAATCTCATAATTTCATTCACTCACCAGGAAGGATGAAGTGTTACTTGTCACTGCAAGTTCACTGATATGCAGTTTGCTGATGGCTTTTAGAGTAGAGCAGGCTGTTACTCTACAAACCTTGGCAGAGAGATGAAAAGAAGTTCTCTTCCAGATCTGTATCTCAGCAGAAAAAAAGAATCATCAAAAGTAAAATAAGATATTTTTACTAACTGCCCTTATGTGGGTGATTATTCATGCAGGAACCCTTCGAGCTGTCAGCAGTGGCTTCCCTGTTAAATGTCCCCATCATGGAATTTGGTCTCCTCTAACTTTGAATGAACTTCAAGGGGAATGCCAGATGCATTCATTTGGATTAGGGTGGATTTTTTGTATTAGTGACAAATGGAAGGAGGATTGTGTTAGTGATGCTTGCAGAAATGTAAATGCTGTGATGCTGCCTGTTGTGGGTGGCGTATTGCTGCTATGGTAATCTGTTTTCTTAAATCATTACAATGCTCTTTCTCTGTGTCCTGTGTATCATAGGGCAGGGCAGTAGGCAAGGAGTGTACTTTTGGGTTCGAGTATGTTTATGCTTTTTGTTTTTTCTCAGCCCCAATCTTTCTCCATTTTTGAAGTGGGACAATACCACCAAGTTGTGCAGTTACCTCATCCTATTTGGCTGTGTTTTTCCTGGTAAGAGTTAAAAGCTACAGTGGCCTCAGTCACTATGGGCATTTTTTGAGAGCTGATTTTGAGGAAGAGCAAAGAAATTGAATTCTGATTTTTGTTCCTGTAGCTTTGACAACAATTTTTTCTGCTGGATGCATCTTGGTGTATATATTTTGTAAAGCCCTCCTACATCTGGGCCAATGCCCACAGCAGTGGTGGAGGGAAGCAGAGTCTCTTTCACAGTGCAAACTTGTGAGGTTCCAGGAGGAAGCCTATTGTGATGTCCCTGGGTTTCCCCTCAACCCCTGTCCTCCCTCTCCCTCTGCTTGTAAAAAATTATTTCCAAGGAATGGCAACAATTGCCCAGAGGTTTTTCTTGTTTAATATTCTCCTTCCTCTCAGGATGGAAACTGTAACTCTTCCCATAGCTTCTCTCTAGCTTCTTTTTGCTTTCTCGAGCTGTTTGCTTACTATTACTTTCCAAACCCCTTGGTATTCCTGCCTTGGTGATGACAAGGGGTGAGGTTTGTGCTCCGCCTGTGGTGCTGACAGGCACAAATGTGAGTGGATCCACCCCAGTAGCCCAGGCCAAGCCACCCTGTGCCTGGCTTCCAGTGCTGGGAGAGTGTGTGCCATGGCTTAGGGTGTACTCACCTGAGCGCCCTGGCATCTCACTTGCCTCAGCCTCTCCCGGGAAATGTGCATGGGATTGCACCACAGTGGGTCTTCACAGCGGCTGTGGTTTGTTATTGTAAAAGAAGGCATTTGTGAGAGGAAAAAAGTCAGTGCTTGTAAAAGGGGCTGTTGGCTATAATGATCCTCTTACCTGTTCTCCTTTCATTATGCATTAGTCTTTCCTGCCTAATTTTGCACACTTTGTTTACCTTCTGGGTTTTTTTCTTAAGTATGAACTATCATGGTTACAGAAAATTTTTATTCAAAAGACAAAAACAAAGCAAAAACACAGCTGCAAAACCAACTCAAACCTCTTCGGAGTAGCAGTCTGTGAACCTTTTGGCTGACACATTTTCTGGAGCTGGGGTGTGTGTGTTTGGGTTCTGTTCCCACTTTACAATTTTCTTTTCCCCCATCCAGATTAGCCAGGCACCTCCAGAAAGAGGCCCAGTCTCAGCACAACAATTTGGAATTCACAGAAGATCAGAAGGTGAGTACTGCTGTTTGTTCAGGCAAGGAGCTTGACTCATAGATGTTGATGTGTGTTATGTTTTTTTATCTTGCAGGCCGAAGCGTTATGAGACCTTTTTTCCTTCCTCAATGTACACAAACAGCAACAGAGCCCAGCGTGGCTAAAACGGTTGCTGTCATTAGATGTGAGGGATGCTCTGCTGTGCTATTGAGTGTCAGGAATGCTGGCCAGTGTCTTTCATAACCTGGGTGTTTCTTTTTTTTGGGATTAATGTTTGATAACTTACTTATTCAACATTAGCACAATTTATGTTGAATTCTGAATGGAAAACATCTTGAACTGCAGACACTGAGGGTGTGTGAGGGGGATGAAAGCTTAACATGTAACACCTGACAGGGAAGGGTCCTGGCAGAATACTCCCTAGCAGTCTCTTAGAATGGTATTTGTTTATAATCTTTCAAAATATTGAAATTACTTTACTCCTCCCTCTCTCACCTCAGTTGAAAAGGCTGTTTCTTGTCTCAGAAACATACTACTGCAGTTCTGTGATGGGATTTAAGTGGACTCATGCACTCAAGCATTTACTGCAAAATAAAATCTTTTGAGATATGAGGCCCTACTAAAGTTCCTTGTCTTCTATAAAGGCATACTTTTCTTAGGAATAAAAAACTAGAGATGTATATTTCCAGATTTTCATGTTAAAAAATCACTTGTTTGAGCAATGCTGTTACCTGAAAATTGACATTTGCTAGCTCAGCATCTCACCAATGGTAATAGGATGCAAGAGCAATGGAAGCTGTGCTTAGGAATGTAAGTCCTGAAAACAGGTGCTGGCTACAGAAATTAGAGATGAACTTGATGTGTGTAAAGAAGCTCAAAGAAATGCACCTTTACATAGACTCTGAGAGAGGTTTGTAGCTGTTTCCTCTATGTGTACCAACATGAAAAGCAAAGACCTGGTATTCCATGTTCTGCTTACCTTCTGCAAAGATTATAAAGCTCATGATTGCTTTAAACGGAGCCATAATTTTGGAGAAGAATTTGGTCCACTTTTCCTGATTTGTAAGCCATGAGAGCCTTGTTAATGTTGGTCAGCTGTTTATTTCTTGAATGCTTCTGCTCTCCCTCCTTTGCTGGTAGCTTTCTCCATCATTCTCAGCTAGAGTCATCTTTAGTGTTTCTTGAGTTTCCCCTCTGTGGAGACTTTTGAAAATGTAGTTACTTCATGAAGGTGAAGCTGTTAATCTCACTTCTGGAGACATCATCTCCTGTGAGTATGGGAACCATAACTGCACAGGGCTTTGCCTCCAGATGTCCCCTGAGTCTTATGAAAAGGACCTGGAACCAGACTGTGGAAGTGAGTGAGGTCAGCCATGAGGGAAGGCCTGGGGGGCTCAGGAAGAGGAGATGTTTCATGCACAAGTGCTGTCATGTCTTAAAGCAACAGTCTTCTGAAAAGAAAAAAGTAATGGGTGGTGGTTTTACATCCTAGCAGAGTGATACCTGTTTCTAAAGCTGAAATAATTTATAAAAGAGGATGGCATTTTTATCACTTGCTGGTTTTTGCCGGTCATTACGTGGCTGATGCACTGAATCTTTGAGTCTGTTTATCAAATAGCAGTGCCTGTTTCATTAGCCACATGCACAAACCAATTCCCCAACATTTTGTTGAAAGAGCACTTTATCTCCTCTACCATGAGGAGTGCTAGTCACAAAAAAAAAAAAAAAGAAAATTGTGAGTGGAGTTTTGCTGTTGCTTAAAAAAAACAGTAAAAAATCTGCACAGCAAAGTCTCTGATGTAAAGCTCCTTGCTGTGCTTGTCTTCCCTATTTCTGCAAGAGCTCATCCAGTATATCATCTAGTCAGTATGACTAATTATTGTCATCACTAATATCATTCACATGGCATGTGGCTGGAGGGCTTTGGTGCATACTGGGTTTGTAAGCATTTTCATTAAATAGAAATGTATCTTCTTTCCTCCTGCCCTTCTAAAAATCAGCTACAAATCAGTAACTTTTGCTCGGCTGTTCTCCTGCCAGTACACCCACCAGCATGCTGAGCCTCTGTATGTTATACAAGAGACACTTTTTTTTTATTTTTAGTTTTAATGTGGAAGACTCTGTAACCTTCAGGGTTTGCTTATCTGATGTAACTGGCCAAGGCTACATGCAGAATTTTGTAGATTGAAAGGCCATGAAGTTGATTATGATTTCCACTTGCTTGATCTACCCTCAGTGCAGTTTTTTGTAGATTTTCAGTCAGCTGTTTTCCAAAGGACCATAAATACTGCTGAGAATTGTTGTGAGGCTGTAGTTTCTTACTTGACCTACCCTGGGGGGGAAGGTGGGTTTCAGCAGTGATTCCTCTGTAGCAAGGGGGTGCTACTATCTTTACAGCTGCAGGGAAAGGACAAGACTAGGTTCAAATCCTCATCCTTATCTGTCTGTATGAACTTTTACCACGTTTGGGTTTATTTCATGCATCACAGGTGGTGCTACAGTGCAGATATGGCCACACAAAAATTGATGGTGTGTTACTTGCTAATGTAATCATACAATCTGTTAATCTAAGAATACTTGACAGATACCATCAGTTTCTTTCCTGGTCATCCTGTGAGGCAGTTATCATTTATCTTGTAATGCATGTTTTGTTTATGGTAAGAATTCAGGCTTTTAAACAGTTGCATCTCCCATTTTTGCTCCTAAAGAATCAGTTTTGAAACACTATATGCTACTTGCCTTGAAAGAGTAGACTACAGATTTTGTTGTTCATTCCTGTATTTTCAAATTGTGATGGGTTGTCATCTTGTAACTATTGTTGGACATAATTCCGTATTTTTCATTCTCTGTCTTGACTTGGGTAATTGACAGTGCTGGACTCTTCATTAGTGATTGTGAATTTCATTGAAGCATTTCTCTGCAGATCCTGTAAACAGCAAATCATTTTGTCTCCCTCCAACAGCTGTAAAGAGGCTCTGCAACAGTTTTATCACTGAGAGGCAGCATGTATGGAATACTAAGAGATGCAGCTCCTGGTGAATTTACCTCAGTCATAACATTTTGAATACTGCTGTTCACTGTTTTACCTCCATTCTCTAAAATTCATGATTATTCATTATCAACCACTGTGTTTTGTGATAGGAATTGTTCCAGTTAGGTTTGGCTATGTCTATCAGCTTGCCTCTAGCTACAGTTACTCTCACCCAGTTCTCTGTGCAATAAATGTGACCTTTAAAACCCTCTTCCAACCATAGTTGTTGCTTCTTGTGTAACTGTTTCTGTGCTACGCTGATTTTTCGTCAGTGTTAGAAAATCCTGCTTTTGAAGCAACCATAACTTGCTGAAATGCAAGCGCTGTTGAACAGTCTTAGCATGATTCATTAAACTACTGGTCTTCTAACAGCCTAAACTCTGGTTAAAGCCAAGCTCTGCTCTGGCTCTGTGTTTATGCAAACATCTTTGCCTCCATTACAGTTAGCACAGTCCTTGTGCAACTCCTCTGAAGAAACCTTGACTAGGAGATCAACTGACTTTTCCCCATTCTAATAATGAGTTTACAATAAACTGAATCTAAACTATTTTAAACTAGCTAAGTTAATTATGGCTTCAGTCTTTCTAATGAGATGCAGAATGTTTTCTCTGCTGCAAAAAGGAGCCTTTGCAGCAGGGATAGTTGCAGCTGAAAATGATAAGTGTTTAGCTGCATTTTTAACTTTTGGGTTGGGTGTGGTCCCTTAAAGAAATAGTTATGAATAATGCCTGCTGGGAGCCTGCCATATTTCAATAGATTCCATATAAAACCTATTCTTTACTATTTAAGACTCCCAAACTCTCTTAAATTAATCTGTTTCTAGAGCCATTATTGCACTTCAGCTCCCAGGAGCCAGAGTACACACATTTTGTATTGCTCTTTGTTCTGTGAGGGGGCTGCTAGTTAGGCAGTTTTCAGAACACACAGTTATGAATCTGCAGGATAGGGAATAGTGGAGTTGTTGAAATTTACTGGTGAATTGACATAGGAGATAGGGGCTGAGCAGTGCTTCTGAGACCTCATTTATGGTGTGCGCTTAGAGAGATACCAGGAGGGGCAGAGCCAGGTGAAAATCTGTTTACATATTCTGGTTCTGTGGTGGGGCATGGAGGCTGTGTGCTATGCGCTGGTACCCTGCAAACTCATAGCCCTCTATTCGTTGTGCAAGTGGAGGAGTTTTGATCTCACAGAGAATGACATGCTTTTTGGTCAGCAGTCAACACTCAAACCGTTGGAACAGCTGGACTTTTGCAGATGCTGGAGCTATAGTCAAACCTCAGAGATTCCCCTCCCTTCCCTCGGGAACCTGTGGACTCCTTTTTTTTACCCATTATTTCACACCTTCATCTTTAAGAATCTACCTTTGCAGATATATTTTTCCAGATGTTCACAAATGAAAAAAGGAATTCCTTTTGTTATACTGCAGCTGATGGCTGTTGTGTGTTCTCATTCTAGAGACTGAGAATCTGCTTCTGCAGTACTACTTGGTGTCTTCCCACCCAGCCTGGCAGTACATGTAAACAAATCCACAACACCCACGTATGCAGTGTGGATCTGAAAGTCTCAAAGTGAGCTCAGGACTCTATGTACTCTTTTCTGTTTCCAAATACCTGTGTTTTTTCAAGCTGTGCTGGCGATCCAGTCATGGGTCTCTGTTGTATAGCAGAATTTATTTTGGGGAGGAGAGAGTTTGTTGACTGAACAATGTGTCCTGTGTTAATAGCATCACTTGCTGCTTTTTGGGAAGGTGCTCAGAAGAACTAAAGTTTTGAAAGGCTGCCATACAATGGGCAGTAATAAAAAAATATGAAGATGAAAAGTCTGGCCTAGTGCCATGTTGTAACAATGTTAAGGGGAGATACCAGCTGGGGAGAAATGGCTTCAAAAACTTTGAGCCTGTGGTGGCAGATGAAAATCAGGTATCTGAGGCTTTTGCATGCTGCAGCTGTTGGCTCTGTCCTTGAGGTATTGATGTGTGACTTACTTAAGATTCAGCTCCTGAACTCTTTCAACTTTCAATGTGGCCTAAGGTGAACTGAAACTGCAATCACTTAGTTTGTTGGAATTACTGGGGGCCTAGGAGCAGATTGAGAAGGATTTGTGACACCACTTTGCAGGAGAGCCAGAACAGGTGTTGGGGGAGGCACCTTTGAAAGCATGTGTAGTTTTTATCTGCTGTTCCCAACCTCTTGGAGTCCAAAAAACATAACCCTCCTTTTGGACTTCACTGACCCTGCATAGATTGCCAGGTGCCAATACTCTTGAAGTTCTTTGATGCTAGAATTGTGCTCTTGGAAATCTTTTCCTCCCCTTGCATCCAGCTTGTGGAGAAATTTTTTTATACCACCTGATTTGAAAGGAGAGAATGAGTTACAGTTGTGTATTTCAACTTTAGTCTTCCTTCTGGGGGGAAATTTAATTTGAAAATAAGCCTCTTTTCTTTGTAGCTTCATTGTTGCTGGTTTTCTTGCCCTATAAATGTTCCATGGAGTATTTTGAATTTATATCTGGCACTTATTTTTCTGCACATCGTCTGAGTTTTTCTTCTCAAAAAGGTTTTAGTCAACGAACAAACTTGTGATGGTCAGGAAAAATACACTGGGCAGTTGTGTCCTCTTCATGTCGCTAATGGAAGTCTTAACTCCTCATTTCAGCTGGTAGTAACAGAAACAAATGTAACTTGCTGGAGCATCTTACTTTATGAGACATAAAAGCTTAAAACTGTCTTCAGAGCAAGACTCCTTGCAATGTGCTATTCTGAAGCCCTTCCCTCTCTTCTGCAGTTTTAAATGAAAATGAGAAATTACTTCGCAGTTCTGTTTACAGATACTTTAGATTGCTGACAAGTTTGAATTCAGGCATATATTCCATTATTCACTCACAGTTTAAATCTCTTAAAAATCACAAAAATACAGAGTTAGAAAAATAATCTACCTTTAGACTTCCTCTCCCAACAAAACCCACAGGAGTGGGCTGTGGTTTTTTTTAGGGCTGAGATACTGGGTTGCTGTAATGTCTGATGTGGGTGGACTTGGTCTGCTGAGGTTGGGAGCTGTAGGCCTGGCTCCTAAAAGGGCAAATCAGCACAAACCACTCAGGTTCTCAGGAGGTAATAAGCTACTTGGCTTGGATTTTTTTTTTTTTTTTTTTTTTTAGTTCTCTATCACCTGAGAGCAGTTGAGTTTATAAACACTTTATGATGTGTTAGGCATTACTACAGTTTCTGCAGAGTGAATGACCCCCATCTGTGTTGTTGGGCTGTGGGCGGGGAGTTAAGTGGCAGATGTCTTTCATCTATTGTGCTTTCAGTAAATCCAGCCTGTCTATAAAAAAAGCTTCTGATGCTCAGTGGTCTGGTACTGAACAATAGACTTGAAACCTTTGCAAAAAAATAAACCCAACTGTTTGTGTTTACATTCTTTAAAAGTGTCAATGTGGAGAAATACTATTTTCAGTACTAAATTTTTGTTTTTCCATTTCAGAAAACCATAGCTAAAATTGCAACATGCTTGGAACTGAGGAGTGCAGCTTTACAGGTATAGCTCTTTTTCCTATCTGACTTCATACTTTAGCAGTAAATGACTGTAAAGCTTTTTAAAATTTGTTTACTGTCTTCAGAAATACCCAAACTTCTGAAAATGGAGTGAACACTTGGAATTTCCAGGCTGTCGTCATGATGGCCCAGCTGACTGCCTTAAGAAAGGCTGAAAGTGCTTATATGAGCATCTCTTGGTGCTTGTACAGGAATTTACCTCCACATTTTGTGTCTTTGGTTCTCTGCCCCATTTTCATCCTCCCGAACTGTTTCATTTCTCTTCCTAACCTGTGTGCATTGTTAAAAAGATCACCAGAATGACCCTTAGACTTATTCAGCTGCTTCATAAATCATAATAGACCACAAAGAAGAATGTGTGTGTAGAATAGAAGTTACTTTTTAGCAGTCATGAAAACCAGTAGTGCTCTAGGAAAATGTGGGAAAACAATAATTTTTAAATTTCTCTTTGGGCTTTTTTTCTGGACTGAAAGTAGACATCATGGGAGTGGATATCATTTTTTCTCAGCACATGCTTATCCCCAAAACAAAAAGCAAGTGAGAGAAATTTCCAAAAGACCATGGATGGGGAAGGTGTAAATCAAAGGCTGAGTTAGTGGATTACTTCTTTGCCAAGAAAGAGTGATGACAGGCAAATTTTGCATCAAGTTACTCCCAGCAGCACTACCAAGTACTTCATGTTGCTGGACAAGGTGCTGCCTTCAATTGTCTGAAAGGCTGGGATACAGCATGCTGGACTCATGAGGTTGGGGCTGACTAGTCAAGGCTGTGTAGAATTTGAGGAATTATTTGGTTACCTCTACCTGTCATTCTATTTTGATCTAACCTGGGGTGTTTGAAGAATGTTTCATTTGCTTGGAGTCACTGTGACTTTGAGGAGAGCCTGCATGTTCCACTATGGAATAGCTTTGTGGGTCAGGTCACATCTGGGAGCAGCAGCAGAAGCTGCAGCCATGTCATAACTTGCCAAGCTGGGGAGGTGGATGTTATGCAACACCAGCCTTCCCTGCTGTTGATTCCCTAGCAATAAGTCAAGGATTTTGTAACCTTTTGAGAGGATACAAGAACTTCTTGCCCACTTCACTTTGGGGAGGTTATGGTTTCTTGGCAGAGGTTAAAGCAGTTGGTGAGTGTTCTCACCTTTTCCCACTCTCCTAACAGTAAGGGTATAGCTGCTTTAGTGTCCTTACACAGTCTTGCAGAAGGTACCTATTCCCTCTTGGACAAAATCAAGAAAAAAAATCTCATTGGACCTTAAATGTTGAAAACAATGGGCAATCCTAAGGGATGCCAAGCGTGCAATGACATTCACTCAGAAGTGAATGTCCAGTGTAAGTCCTCTTATTTCCACTTCTTTTTATGCCTGCTCTGCCACTTGATTAGAAAAAACTAATCTTACCTAACTGGAATTAAAAATTAGGAACTTCTCTGTTGAGTCAGTAAGTCAGATAGGCTTACTGAGAGCTGTACATGTATGTGCCACAGACAGAGGAGGAAACCATCATCAGAGCTGGAGAAAAAAAAAGATGGGAATTCCTCTTCTATTTTCAGTGAGTTCTTGGCTGAGTTTTTCAAGCTCATCCTGTGTACTGTAATTTCTGCTAGTGTCACAATGTTGGACACATGTCTTGAAATGTCAGTGTTCCTGTGTGCAGTAAGGAAGAATTTACAACGAGTTGGTTTAAAGATATTTATCTTTCATTAGAGCTTGGAATATTGGATAGGTTTGTTCTTAATAAGTGAGAAGTAATGTAGTCTCTGCCTCACCTGTGAACCTGCCTTTTGTTGGGGAGATTTTCTGGGGGGATGTAGCTTTGTAGTAACTTGGTGTGCTTGAACAAAGGAAGCACCTTGCATCTTATTCTGAGATGAGGAGGGTGCATCTGAAGATCTGACTCTTTCTTTGTACTGTCCTAGTCCACCCAGTCGCAGGATGAGTTTAAGCTTGAGGATCTGAAGAAGCTGGAACCAAGTAAGTGGTATCTTTGTATTTTGAGTGCCATTTATCATGACAGGGGAAAACATGACAGCAGCAGGAATACTGACTAACCAACACTGCAGTTCAACAGTGATGCTGGGTTTAGGTGCTTATTCCAAGTGTCTGTTACCACACAGAGAAAACTTGATGTGAATTAAGGAATGTAATGTGAGTAATTTAAAAGTACAGTAACCCAAATGTTTTAGATAATATATTCATATTCATTTTCAAATAAGCAATTTGGACCTTGCTAATTTTTGCACAAAATTGTATTTTAAGCTATCAGTAGTACATTGTATGATTTACCTGCACATTTCTTATTTGAACTGTATTTCACCACTTTGTGGTCTTCCTTCTTGCAGCATGACATTTATTTTTTTCTTCTGAAAATATTTAACTTGTGAAAATATTTAACTTGAAAATATTTAACTTCACCTATCACCTCCCACTGTAATGCTACCAGACCAGTGAAGGTGAGAGTCAAAGTGAGGATGTGAGTCAGTCTATGAAGGGTTTTGTGCAATGTTATTTTTTTCCAACTGATCCTGGGTCAGGTCTTGGTATGTCAATCCAGAAATAACTTCTTCATATAGGAAGTATCTATTTATCTGCTTCATTTTCTTTCCTGTAACACTGGCTACTTTGTTCTCAGAGCATCCTTATGATTAGAGCTTACACATCTAAGCAATATTATCCTGAATGTTAATGTTTCTGCATTTCTCAGGGAACAAGAAATGTGGAAGAACTACTTTCATGCTGATTGAAGTTGGTTTTATTTTGCTTATGACACAATTGTTACATTGAGCAATATGTTGGGGATAAATATGATGGGCAGGCAAATGTTTCCCCTTCATGAATAGGCTGAGCTTCTCTGCACGGAATCCTACAGAGGAGCTTGTTAAGAAGTGGAGCATTGAGCTAAGCTTCCTTATAGCTTTACCAAAACATAGAGTCCAAATGCTTTTAAACTGTTCCTTGAAAGTGCAAAGTGATGTTGTGTTGCAAAACTGCTTGGTCCTATGGGTGAAGACCATAACTGAGGAAGGGATTTAACTGTGTGTTGGAATATTCAGTCTTCCTCACACTACATGTTGCATGTCTGGCCTCTGAATTCTGACTTGGGATTTTTCTCTGTAGATTTTGCTGCTCTCTGTTTACAAAGTATTTAAAATGTTGTAATCATTGAATGACTCTGGATTTCAGACTCCATTGTGCAAATGCCCTGTGAGTGACTGAATGATGGAAGAGAGATGGGAATCTTGTCCAAAATTTCAATTATGATGCAACAGTCCTGTTGTTTATCTTGCCCTCCATCACAGATTTGATTTTTAGCTGTCAAAAAAACTGCTTAGCAGTGTGAAGTGCATTCAGCCCACACCTCATACAACAAGCAACTATATTAAAACTGAAGAAGAGTGTGTGGCCATCAGTTTTCAAATACACTGAGTTATTTTCCTTGGAAGAGAATGGGTGCTTCTACAACAACAATTGAACATTGATGTTCCTAATGCTGCTGTCTTACTTGGACGGTTCTGGCCTCTTTCTTTCTGAATTGTGCCTTTGTTTCGTGGTTTTTAAGTGTATCTCGAATAGAGTGAATCTTAATCAGGCCAATACCAGCCACTTCATAAAATCCACTGTGAAGTGTTTTAATTCGTATGTTGTCAATTTTCTTTTGCATCCCACCAGAAAAAGCTAAAAAATCTGGCCTGGCAATATAAAGAAGCGATTCCTTTGTTAGGTCAAGCCATTCCATTAGGGTGGAACAAAACAGCTATTCATACAAAACAGCTATTCTCACAATTTGGCTTGTTTTAATTACTTTTGTGCCTGAAGCTGTCAGAATGGTTTTGGTGTTGTTCTAACAACCAGGACCCTTAGAATTACTTTTTTTTTTTCCTTTAATCTTGTGCTGTTGAGTTCTAGCTTTTCCTACTTGAGCTTCCATTTCATGCAGATTGGAAAGTGAAGCAGTTGGCTGCTTCTGTTTGTTTATAGGATTTGTCACTGAATAATTTGTGCTGGAATAATGCTACAGGAGGTTCCATACATACAAATGGCTCTTTTGAGTTTGTGCTATGTGAAGTCATTGTTAACACACTGGATTTCAAATCCATTTCTTTGTGGAAGCTTATACCAGTCTTAGAATGCACAGTACAAATGGACGGGCCGGGACATCCATTATGCCTGGATGATAATTATAAGACAAGTGGATACTGGGTTGTAATGGGGAGCGTGGTGTCTGAATTATTTTATGTTGTTTATTACAAAAAAGTATAAGTATCAGAAAAAAATCACTGTCGCAGAAAATCTAAATGGACAGTCTTTACCGAGTTAATGTGTCCTGATCTTCTGACTTATGTTGATAATTTCCTTTGAAATATTTCAAGAAAGAGCCAGCTGCTGATAAAATCAGACTATGAGGATGGTGAAAGGCCTCGAGGGGTAGCCTTATGAGGAGTGGCTGCCATCACTTGATCTGTTCAGGTTGGAGGAGACTGAGGGGGAGACATCACTGCTGTTACAACTTTCTCATGAGGGGCAGAGGGAGGGGCAGGCACTGATCTGTGCTCTGTGATGACAGTGACAGGACCTGAGGGAAGGGCCTGGAGTTGTCAGGGGTGATTTAGGTTGGTCATCAGGAGAAGGTGCTACACCCAGAGGGTGGTTGGGCACTGGAAAAGGATCCCCAGGAAAGTGGTCACAGCACCCACCTGACAGAGTTCAAGAAGTGTTGGGACAATGCTCTCAGGCTCATGGTATGATCTTCAGGATGTTCTGTGCAGAGCCAGGAGCTGGACTGTAATGATCCTTGAGGGTCCATTCCAGCTTAGGCAATTCTGTGATTCTAAGCAAATCAAAGTAACACTGTCCAAAGTCACAAAAGAAAAGGCAACTTCTGTACAAGAGCCTGCAGAACACTATTTAAAAAAAGATTTCTATTGGAAATACAGCACAGATGGAGGCCACGATGCTGGGATCTACCCATTAGTTGCACTTGTGGAGAATTCTCTGGGACTTATGTTCTCAAGCAGCAACATTACAGAGGGGAAAGGCTCTTTTTCCCAGAAGTGAATTGTGTTTTTGAAAATGAAACAGAGATCCAAAAAAGCTGAAACCAACCTTTTAAACCTTGGATGTCTTACACAGCATTACAAGGGAGATTCCTGTTCATATTAACCTAATTTTTTTTCCTGTGGTCTGGTATTTTTATTTTAATCAACTGAAGCTCATACTTGTGGCAGATGCAAAGAGGATTTTCCTTTTCCTCAGAGTTTTATTGCTTAGCTTTTTCTCCGTGGCCTTGAATAAGTATTTCACCCGGCTGAGTGCGGTGGACCTGTTGCTTATCCTGTTCATCTTTAAAGGAGCACTAACATTGCTGTGTTACAGCTTCGCAAAATAATTTGCTATCGGTGGTGAGACAAGAATTGAAAGCTCTTTAAAAACTTGACCACAGCTTTGTGCAGCAAAAGGCAGGAAGTCCTGCTTCTGAGCTGAATATTCAGCACCACATTTGCTCCTGGCAGGTCAGGGGTGCTCAGCCTCTGGCAGTAGCAGCACGATTTTAGGCCCTGTAGAGCTGTTTGCCTCTTGCCTGGGCTCATGTCAGTAGAGCTCTTTGGGCCCTCTAGTGATGCCTGAAGTGAATTAGGAGGAGGGTTTTTTACTTTTAAGGGGACCTGGTTACTAGAAGCGAGGAGTCTAGCTAGCACTTATGAACCTTTGGAAAGTGGGAGAAGAGCTACTGTGACACCTGTCTCTTCTGTTTAATGTGCCTATGATCTGTAAAAGATCTCACTTCACTGAGGTTTTCCTCCTGGGAATACCCTTTCTGTTTCTGATGTAATGTATCTTTCTGAGAGCTGGGGAATTATGAGAGCAATAAAAATCCCCTTCTTTTCCTGAACCTCAGCAGCATTGGAAGATGACTGTCGGCTGATGATCAGCTGCTTTTCTGGTGGGAAGTGGCTGTGATTCTTCAGATGTATGTTGAGATCTGCATTACTGGTCCCTCAGAGCAGAAGTCTTTGGAGAGAGAGACGTGGCATCAGTTTGTTCTCTCATCAAAGCTCTGACTGAAGGCACTTTAAACCTTTCTCTGTATTTATGTATTGTGACTGGCTGGGATTAGGCACTGATTAACCTCTCATGTTGTAGAACAAAAATAAAAAAAAAATCATTATGAGTAAAGACTGGAAAGACTTTTTGGTTTCTTTATAGTTTCCCAGAGGAATAATTTATTCTTAGAGCATTCAGATGGTGTCTGGTAAGCTAATACAGGAGCCCAGACTGGGTGATGGGAATGTGAAGGCAGACAGGGAAGCTGGCTGAGTTGTAGTGTGCTCAGAGGGGCCTGGCAATGGCTTCTTAAGCATAACTGGTATTTAAGTACCTCTTGATATTTGTGTAATCTGAACATTGTTTGAAAAGAGTTTTGTTTTTGAATATTCAGAAGTCTTCAGGGGAGAATTCCTCTGCTCTGAGAGTGCTTACGGTGAAGTGAAGCTCTCTGAGCAGAGTCAGGGGTTTTTCTCTCTGCTCCCCCTACCAGTGTGCGATATTCATTGTCTGGTAAGAGAGTGCTTCTCCCTGCAGGTGTCCTCTTGTAAATTTTTAGGCCCTCTAGCCATCATTAAGTATTTATTTCTTTCCCACGTCTTTGGAAGTTTCACTGGTAGTTGTGTTTGGAAATGGTAGCTAAAGTTGGGATTACTAAAATGTGAGCAAATTTCCAATATAAACAGCAAAGCCATTTTGCATGAAATTCTGAAAGTATGCGTGATGTCTTTGGGGCATGGTGCCCAGATATTGTACTTTATCTCTCCTGAATTTCACCAATCTGCCCAGACATATGAGGGCAGATGGAAAGAAAACACAAACAAACAAGGGCATCACCACCACCAAACAAAACCCCCAAAACACATGACTGAAGAAGTAGAAAATCTTACCAAAGCGTTGTGCTAGCAGCACGCTTGCTCTTCCATGGTGGCTGCCTGAATGTGCACCCACATGTGTCAGCTCTGGAGATCTCATCTGTTTGGAGCTGATGCCAGTAATGCCACCACCCTGCTCTCAATAGCCACCAGAGATTGCTGCCCTCACCCCAGGGGCTGTAGCTTTTTCTCATGACGATTTTGGTTATTGCCACATTTATCTTCTCTGTCTGTCTGTGTGGGTGTGGTAGTAGTAATCTTATAGTTGCAGTTCACCTCTCTGAATGTTACAGTGATATAGGTTTGATCATAGCTGTGCTGGTGTTTAAAATATGAGAGAAGAGGGATTGGTTTTGTATGATCTGATTATTTTAAAAATTTTATTATTATTATTTGTGTGTGAAGATGCTGTCAGAATTGACATAGCTGTGCAAAGTAATAGAATTAATGCTGGTTTATGAGTAGAGATTTTTATTTTTTCTCTTCTCCATAGTCTTAAAGAATATCCTCACTTACAATAAGGAGTTCCCCTTTGATGTTCAGCCTGTCCCACTCAGGTAAGAGATAACTTCTTGCACATCACTTCATGTACAGATATGTACTTGAAAGGGAGTGCAGCCTGGGCCTGGTGTGTACCTAAAACACATTTCCAGAGCCATCTGCTTGCCAGACTGCTTTGTATAAACTGGTTAATAAAAAGAACTTCAAAACTCTGTTTGTCTAGGTACCACTAAAAATCAAGACCATCCTTTTAGTAAAATCACTACTTGGTACATCCCTACATCTCTCTGAGATTTCCATTATCATGTCCTGGCTTTAGGCTCTGTGCTTTCTATTGGTCTGAACTCCTACAATCTCTGTCAAAGTCTGTAGGGTAGAGGTAGAAGTTAAGAAGTATGAAATGACATTAAAGAGTGTTGTCCATGCTCAGGTGCTGGCTTGTGAATTGCCTGCAGGTGATGAGTGAGCGTTGGTCTCATTTCTTCTTCCCTGTGTTTTACAGGAAGATTTTAGCACCTGGAGAAGAGGAACACTTGGAGTTTGAAGAGGATGACGAGGAAGGAGGAGCTGGAGCAGGGTCTCCAAACTCTTTTCCTGCTAGAGTTCCAGGTAGGGGCACTAGCCTTGCCATGCCAGCCTCTGTAGCATCTCTGAGCTCTGGCTCTAAAAAGCTTCTTTTTCCACCTGTAATTTGAAAAGTTTGGGTGGGAAGCTACAGACTCATGTAGACAAACCCTAATGCTGTACTGGAGAACCACAAGGGTGGCCAGTGAATTTTTTTTCCAGCAAACAGTATCTTACTGTGAAACAGTTGTATGGAGAACCTGTGAGGCTGGTACCATCTACCTCAAATAATTAGCCTTAATACTGAGTCTGAGTCAGGATTATTCATCCTTCACACATAACTATGTGAAGCATTTCAAATGTGTTCAAATGTAAATTGTGGCAATGTTTCTTCTGCAAGGAGCAGTGCATGTTTCTAGAGATATGAGAAGTTGTTGCTGCTTATTTTTGCGTTGCATTGTTTGGTGAGATAGTGGCTTAGAGTGAAGCCAGGCTGTGAGAGAAGAAAGAGGGGCTTTTGATTTTCATAGCTCAAGTCCTTGTCCATGTGAAAGTATTTTGTAGAACCAACAGATTCTAGAGAAGGTCTTCCTGAAGCTTCAGGTTTTGACAATTTAAATGTTGTATCAGAGGTTCTTTAGTGTTCCTGGTTCCTTTAGTTCCTGGTGTAATTTCTTTGCAGAAGAAGCAAGTTTCTAGTTTCAGAGCTGGCTGGCAAACTTTATATTTCAGGAATGAGATAACAAGTACAGAAACCAGTACTGGAATAATGGTCAAAAGAGCTGAGGTGTTGTATTACTTATGCCTGGAGAAAACCGATGATATTCAGATGTGATCCCAAGCACAGTGCTGCATATGGCCGCTGCAGGCTGACCTGATGTGGGCATGCACAGTCTACAGCTATTCATGCCAAGCTCCCAAAAAGGCTATAATATATTGTGATATTGATGGCTAACATTTGCTGTCTTGATCCTTGTTATTCACCATGATAAGTCCATTTATGGAGGTGCCTTCTGTCTGTCCCAAGTACAGCAGGAAGACTCAAACAAAAGCAGTTTGCAGCCCTGGGGTGAGCCTTATGAGTAAAGTGAATTTCTCTATCTGAAGCTGACAGAGTTGTGTTGCACTCCTTGCTTTGATGTGCCCTTAATCCATCCAGTACTGTCTAACTGACCATGGTCTTATCTTCTCCATGCATGACTTCATCGTTATCACATTGCCCCATTTGTCTAACCCAGGAGCCAACAAAGGTATGAGAACCTTTTAGTATGTACAGTCATTTCTGTGCTCACGTTCATGTAGCTGTGGTCTTCTTCATCCAGCTCTTAGTGCCGATCCTCACAACACAATTTTTGGTAACAATCACACTACTGGGCACCTATCTGTTGGTCTTCGTTTGCCTTCAGTAAGGAGAAAAGGGAAGGTCATGTTGATTCAAACAGCTCTTTAGAGGTCCTGCTGTACTAATTAAGGTGTTCTGGGTTGTGGTGTAGCCAAGGGTAGGTGTAGCTGGATTTTATTTACTGGAATACACGTTTTATGGGAAATGTTACATAAAGAGTATTTGCATAGTTAGACTTCTGTGCTGTGTGGAGCTGAACTGACCAATGCTTGCTGCTTCTAACAGCAAAGGTTTCCTGCCTTTCTCCTGGTTATATATGATTTTATTCCAGTGCTGTGCTCTTTTATAAACCATTTCACTTTGTGAGCCCAGCAGGAGACTTAGCACTTTTTTCCCCTTTCTCTGAACTGGGATTTGGGAGTGGAGAGCCTGAGTGCCTGTGTCTTGGTGGCAGTGGGGTGCTGGGCTGGCTCACTATCCCTGAAACCCACTTGGAGGAGGACATTTTTCATTTGCAGATGCTCCCATCCCCCTCTGGCAGAGATGCCCTGTGGTTGTGTCTGGTGTGGCTGCAGCTTTATCCTGAAAGGCCTCAGTGTGAGCCTGCTCAGGGGCCCAGGCCACGGTGGTTGACAGGGGGATGGTGCCCAGTCCAGGAAAGCTGTACTGCAGAGAGGGCACTGTCACCTACTATGGCTGCAGAGGCTCCAGCATAGGCCTGCCTGAAGCTGTGGCTCATGTGAAACAGGTTACAGTCAGCTGCTCTAGTCCACTGTTGGCTCCTGCTAGGGCAGGAAGGAAACAGTGTTCCTTGGATACTGTCTGTCCTACTGTTCTCTTGTCTCCTGGAAGTGACTTTGACCCTTCTGTCCATTGCAACTCTACAATTTCACACATTCTGGAAAGCATTCTTCAAGAACAGAATAATTTCTCTTACCCCAGAATTTTTATAACAAAAACCAGGCTGAGGCATCTTTCAGGTGATTTTTCTGTCAAGTGGATGGAGTGATGGACAGGAAAGCTGAAGGCTGCAGTTATTCCTGGCTCTTGGGGGCCATGCTGCTTTTAGGAGACAACTGACATATGATGGAGCAAAGGTTTATGCCAAAAAGAAGACAGGCTTGCTTCTTCCTTCACTTAGATTGAAATAAGAACTCTATATTTGAACATCTCTTTGGGGAAGAAACAGAAAGATTAAGTAGAGCATGAGCTGCTTTGTGGAAATGAGGGCTCTCTACTAAGTTTGTTCTCTAACATTTCTCCCATTGCACGCAGAAGCCTTTTCTGTTCCTCCAAACCCTGGGCTGAGCTCTGCTGTGCTGTGTTGAGAGGTGTGGACACGGTGCTTTGGAGGCCCTGAGTCTCTTCAGGACAGGAAATACAGAAACACATAGCACCAGAGATGGAAATTCAAGTCTTGCACTTGATTCTGAGAGGGGGATTGGATGCAGGAATGCTCATGAAATCTTGCCGAAGATGAGCCTGTAGTTCTCAGAGCAGAATGCAAGGCCCATCTTGCAAAGCCAGTCTCTCGTAAGACAAAATCTTTGTGGTTCTACAGCTCCTCAAGCAGATGAGAGGAAAAAATTGTGTCAAGAAAACACTCGTGTTGGACTTGTGAAAGGAAATTATTACATTGTTTAGATCTAAAGCCTTAGGATAACTTCTTTTTTTCATTAGAAAACCAAAACTGTAACTCAAACTTGCTTATGAGTCTTGAGTATTTTCTATCCTGGTGCTTCTTTATCCAGTAGGGAAGAGGGGCTTGAAGTGTGCCAGTTTTTGCTAAATTCAGCATGAAGTAACCTACTCCATGTTTGATAACAGAATATTATGACTTTTAGTGAGTTTGAACAGTCTGGACAGCTGCACTGTCTTCTTCAACACTGTGAGAATTCATTTTTTTCCCCCCCACTTTAAGTAGAGGCCAGTAGCACTTACTTAAGAATCAATTTTCTGATTCCCTTATGTTCTGTGTGATTTGCAACAATGCCATTTTCCTCCTTAATCTCCCAGTCTAAATGTTCAATGTGAAGCCAAATCATGTTCAGTGGAGTTGGACTCCTGATCAAGTGTCTAAACGTCCTGCAACTGCAGATTGAATTCAGCCTCCCAAATTTAATCCTCAGAAATGCTATAAAGTGAGTTCCATGAATGGTTATTCTGTGAAATAACACTTTAAACAATGCTCCCCTCTATTTTTATGGCGATAGTTTTTTATCAGTTGATTTGACTTGAAGCAGTCCTGGGTTTTTTCTGGGGGGCTTTAAAATCTGTCAGAGGAGGTTGTGTGTCTGTGCACAGACATTCCCACAGTGGTGTGTACTGCTGGAATAGGAATCTTTGGAGTTTCAACCCCCTAAGAACAGCACCTTCCATGAGAGAAGATGGGACAAGTGAGACCTCTGCTGTGAGATGACACCATGGATTAATAATATGCTTTACTCTTTCCAGGTACTTTATTGCCCAGATTGCCATCTGAACCCGGGATGACGTTACTCACCATCACCATAGAGAAAATTGGTCTGAAAGATGCTGGGCAGTGCATTGATCCTTACATCACAGTCAGTGTAAAGGGTAATGATTTCTGTTCTGCCTCCTCCGTGCTGCTTTGGAGAGACTGCATTTTCAAAAGCCCTATGGATTTTTCAGCCTGCTGGGAAAAACATTTGTTGTCACTTCTGTTGTAGATGTAGGGCTTCTGCTTTAATCAAGGGCAAAAAATTCTGTATTTGACAGCTACTGGGAGGTGAATATCTGCAAGATACACTTCTCTCTGTGCACTCAGGGGTGGCTTGTCCATGTTGAGAGCTGAGTAAATTTGCCCTACTTCTCCATCACGGCTTCTACAGCTGACTCCTAAGTACAGATCTGCTTGGACTGTGTGTACTCCCCACACTTATTGGTCTCTGGGCTTTTTGGAGGTGGGGAACCACAGCCCACTGACTCCATTCTTGCCCTCTCATTAAACTATTTTTGTAGTAATACAAATATTATCTTACCAGGGCTTGAGGTTTAGAGGGATGGGTATGAAGCTGGGAAACAAAGCTTGCAAGTGAAATGAAATAAAAAATGTGTTAGCCTGTCTTGTGAAATGCTTCAGCCAAAACCTGATGGGCTGAAAGGCTCCATAAATCTGGAAGAATCTCTCTTTTTGTCAGTCCAGGATAGGCAACATGAGGATTTCTCTGTTTCAGATGGTAACATAATTGGTATCTTTTGAGGCTAAGATTTTTCATATTCCCACTCTTTCTAATGGGAGTATCACTATCCCCCATTTTGCACTTGGCAGGAAGCCTCTGTAGTCAAACCTGCTTGCCCTTGCCTTGTGTTCAGCTTTACTTTGGGTTCTCTTTACAATTTTTAAATGTAGGCAGAGGATTTTTTTTTTGTTTATCATGTAAAAATCTGTAGCTGAGCCTCTTGTTATTTTTAGTTGTGATAATAACCTTGTATGTGTCCTCTTGAGATATGCCATTGGATACTAAATGTAGGATGAAACACTTGGTTAGATGTGTGATCAGTGCTTCTTCCACCACATATCCTCTGGCAGGAGGAAGGTTCACAGCATCAAATATCCCTTGAATACATACCAGGACTTGTAAAGCAAACATTCCTTGTTCATTGCCACTGAAGTGTTTGTCTCATTGTACATTGCTAAAACTGCTGCTGTAGCTCTCATTTCCCTTCCAGAGCTAAGGGAGACTCTATTGCTGGGCTTGCTTTCCCAACAAGTCTCTGTTAACATGATGCTCCCTGTTTCCAAACTCATTTACCTATAAATGGTGGCTGCCAAGTAATGAGGTAGAAAATAGGATCAAAAAGTGAGAGTGTGGGCAGGGTATGGATGAGTCTGCTAATGGTGTCTTTTGATACTTTTATTTCCCAAGATTTTTGGTTAGGCAAAGTAACTCTGACAACTCAATTTTTTCACTGTTAGGAGTTTGAAGACACTTAGTAGCTGATTTCCTTGGTTTTAAACCAAGCTGCTCTTCTGCAGGTTTGGAGTGAGGTTTGTTCCTGATGCAGCATTGGCAATCCCAGCCCATATCATGGATTAAGGGAATCACTGGTGCTCCAGGGCCTCAGCCTGAGCTCCAAGCACAACATGTGTGCTCCGTACCTGTAATCTTGGCCACATAGTTAGCAACTTCCTCTGCCAAAGGGAAAGGGATCAGGAATGAGAGGAAAGACAGGACAAATATACCCCTGGAAACAGCAGAGGCTTAGTGAGAAACAATATTGGCTATGCCAGAGCAGCAAAACCAGGGGCTGGTGCTGAGAGCTAGAGTCCAACCCAGAGCCTTACAAAGCCTTTGTGGAAAACCCAAGAGGAATAGTCCTTGTGTCTAGGCACAAAGCAGGGCACACACAGGATGGGTGAGCTGTGCCAGTTGTGCCCTGCAGACACTGTGTGGAGGGCTGTCTTTGGTGTGTATCCCCCTTGGCCTGGAGCTCTTCTGGAGTCCTTTGTGCACAGGAAATGGAATGTTTTGCTGACAGCAGAAAGAAATGCACTCTTAAAAATAAAAAGAGGGATAGCTACAATTTTTTATCTGAAATACTGCTAGAACTTTAGCTGCTTTCGTGTTGTACTCAAAAAGAAAACTAACTGATTGTGAAGGGCTATGATTGCCCCTTTTTTAGGTTTTGTGGAAACATCCAGGTGTGGATTAACTTTTTGTAGCAGGATTTGATGAGACTTTTAAGTCTCTTAAAGCTGAACCTTGAAGTCTGAGAAGCTTCTGCTATTCTCATGCTGTTTCTTTCCTGCAGATTTGAATGGGATAGATCTGACTCCTGTGCAGGATACTCCTGTGGCTTTGAGAAAGGAGGACACGTACGTCCATTTTAATGTGGACGTTGAGATTCAGAAACACATTGAAAGACTAACAAAAGGTATGTATGTGGTACCATGTCAACGATGGAAAGAGAGGGAAGACTGACTCAGTGATCAGAATCTGATTTCATTGTGGGATACAAATGCTTATATACAATTTCAGGGAGACACATTGTAGTAATGTGTACTACAATGATTAGGTTAAAATCACATACACAAACTTATGCATATAACAACATCTCTTGCTTGCAGAGTTTAATGGGATTTTCTTTTTCCAGTAAACCCATTTGATTTCATTTTCTTGTAGCCTAGGTCTAATTTTCAAAGTTCCTTTTGTTTTTGCCAAGGCATCCTGTTATCAAATCTCTTATGTTAACCAGGTCCAAAGTCCATCATCTTTCTTGTGTCCCCTAAGACAGATGTTTCCTTTTGACCAAAAATACTCTTTTAATGGCCTTATTAATTAATCTCTGCACACATCAAAAGGTATCATGATTAATAGAATTATTATCCAAATTACCATATACATACCCATCCTAAAAAGAATATTTTAGTTAAAAACTCCAGCCACTAAAAGACTCAGGCTTGATCTTTATAAAATGTTCCTGATGGCAGCCTCATTACTGGATTTAGAAAGGCTTCCAGAAGTGTAATTGTACCAAAAGGCTTGATTCTTATACATGGAGTGATAGGGAGAAACAGCCCAAGATTTAGACTGATTTCTTCCCATGTATTTAAAATTAACACAAAAATCCAATTTTAAAGAACCCAGGAGCTCTAATTCTTGGAGTCCCAAAGGTGTTTCAGGAAGGTATGGATTCAATTTGATATGATTTAATTTGCTTTCAAAAAAAAAATTTTTAGTGTAAAGTTCTGGAGGAGCTATATTCCTTGCTAATTTTTTGTTTTTCAATAAGATGTGTGTTTCTTGTTATGAACATGAATGTAACATAAAAGCAAAACATAACAATAAACTTATGCTAATTAAAAAGAAATCAGATAATAGATACAATTAGTGGCATATGAAAAATAGAATGGTGATTTAAAGCAATGCCTTATAAATTTCTTTACTATTGTACTATTACTTAGAGTCTGTAGTAATTGGCAAGCTTTATTTTTTAAAGTGTGGACTTGGAAAATCATTCCCGGGTAAGACTTCCAAGTTCACCTTAGAAGGAGGTTTAGCTATTATAGGTCCAAATTTGGTAAACCAGAATTACTTGAATATAATTTTGGTACAGAAAATTTTCTCTACTAGTTAAGGCCAGGACTTGGCCAGGATCCAGGCTCTTAACTGGAAGAGTCTTTTTAATATATTTTAGAAACCTCTTAGTAAATATATGTCTTATGAATAGCTATACAACAATAAGTGAAGGTTTGTAAAGTAGCTGGCTTTCTCATTTATAGTTAGTCAATGGTACCATAGACAAAAGTAATGCTTGTTATAGTAAATTCCATGAATTCACATCATAAAATTAACAGCATAATCAGCGTCACTTAATATATCAGTAGAAATTGTCTTAAGAAATTGAGGTTATATTTTCCAGGACATATATGACATTAAAGCAAAAAAGTAGAAGAAAGCATTAAATAACTCATAACTAATTACAGTCATAATATGGAGACTCATTCTTCAGTACTGAAGCGATAAGTGGAATAAATCGGCTCCACAACCTGATGTAGTTATGAAGTGGGTATGTATTGTCAGTGCCCAGCACAAGTGAGATAGCTCTTGTGAAAACTTTTGCCCTGAGCTCCGATCTGGGCCACATCTTTATTCACAAAGGTGCTCCATATACATTACATTGCACAACCTTTTCATGCATATTCACCTCCTGGCCCTGCCTGTCCTTGCCTGGTATGGTAATTGGATCCATGCCCTTCTTCACAGTGGTGGTTGCACAGGGGTCTTTCAGTGGTTTCTGAGGCTGAAGGCCGTGGTCTTCCTCACGGTTGAACTTTTGAACTTCTTTGCTCGTGCACTGTGGTCCCTTGGTGCTTATCTGAGTACATCTGTTGATTTTGAACAGCTTGGAGACAGAGGAGCTCCTTTATCTAGGTTTCTTGCATTCCTTGGTCTTCTCCCAGTATTGTTCTTCATCACAAGAAGCTTCAGAAATTTTCCTATGCTCTTTGTATCATGGCAGAGGTTTCTTAAGTAAAAGGTTAAAATTTAACACATCATTCTACAAGCTAAAATTTAAATGCTTCATTCATATTGCTAACTTAAGCGAACCTCCATTTCAGTACTACTTCTAAAAAATAAAATAGCAAAACCTGTTCCTATTTCTATAGCAGAATAGGTGTATCTTGTAATTTAAATGAGGAAATTTTAACAAAAATTCACTCAATCTTTATGCCATTCACTTATATAGCAAAGAAATTATATTTTATACCTCAAAAAGTTATACTTCAACAAAATTTAAAATCAACTTTACTAAAACTTAACCTTAATAAATATATCTAAAAGAACTTAAAGTCTCATAATCTGAATCTATCGGCCCTGAATAGAAAGGCTCCCCCTCCTCCTTACTGCTAGAGCTGCAGTCAGTGATATAAAGTGCTAACGACCATGAGAAAGGATGCCTCCCCCTCCTTTGTCTGGGCAGGGTTGATGGCTGTGGCTGCTCTTCAGTCCAAGAGGTGCCAGCTTCAAGCGGGCAGGGAGAGTCAGAGTGAGGAGAGCCAGAGCAGGGTAGGGGGCTGGCAGCATCCAGCTGCTCTTGCTTTTTCAACATCTTAAAAAGTATTCTCCAGGATTGGAGTAAAAGTGACTTGAGGTCCTCCTTTAGGATGGGAGAGTCATGCTTGTCCGGAAGGGTGAGCATGGTTTCATAGATGTCTCTCTCTTTGGACATTTCCTTTCCCATTTTTACTTTCTATTTTAGTTCCCCTGGCTTACGTGTCAGTCACAGCAGATAGGCGATTCGGGGCCCAGATGCGTCCTGGGCCCTGAGTGTCACTGTCACCACCAGTTCCAGGGGCTTGCCCACTGCTGCCAGTCAGGCCAGTTCATTCTCCCACATGGAGGCACCAATTGTTGGCAATGGAGAGAGAGGGAAGACTGACTCGGTGATCAGAATCTGATTTCATTGTGGGATACAAATGCTTATATACTATTTCAGGGAGACTAGTAATGTGTACTACAATGATTAGATTAAAATCACATACACAACTTATGCATATAACAACATCTCTTGCTTGCAGAGTTTAATGGGATTTTCTTTTTCCAGTAAACATGTTTGATTTTATTTACTTGCAGCCTAGGTCTAATTTTCAAAGTTCTGTTTGTTTTTGCCAAGGCATCCTGTTATCAAATCTCTTATATTAACCAGGTCCAAAGTCCATCATCTGTCTTGTGTCCCCCAACATTCCAACAGTACCAGAGACCTGAAACAGGGCCCAGGAGCTTTGGGAGCACAGACACTGGGCTGCTCCTGAGCTGCTGCTGCAAGGCTCAAGATCCAGACAAGGATAAAAATAGACCTTTGCATCCTGTCCCTTTCAGATTGGTCACTGGGATGGCTTGCAGGCAAGGGAGAAATGAAAAGAGACAAAAACAGCAGTCTGTTCTGCTACACAGTATTGAGCTGCTTTATCACCTGCTTAGTCATTGGTACCTGGGTGTGAGCAATGGAGTGAAGAGTTTGAATAGTGGAGTGTGGTGAGCATTGTAAGAACACAGTGTAGCTTTTGAGTAAATAACAGAAGTGTGGGAGATAATTCCCTTCAATTTAAGTAGAGCAGCTTAATGGCAGATAAATTTTTCAGGTAACTCTTAGCCATAATTGCTAACTTTTCTATTCATTTTCCCTCCAGGTGCAGCTATTTTCTTTGAATTCAAACACTACAAGCCTAAGAAAAGGTTTACTAGCACCAAGTGCTTTGCTTTCATGGAGATGGATGAAATTAAACCTGGGGCAATTGTTATAGAACTGTAAGTGACTCACAATTATGGATGACAATGATAGAGGAAATGAACCAGCTTTCAGTTACAATGTGTGGCTTGTTGTATTAAGGAATGTTTCTTGGACTTATTAGATTTGCTTCCATGAGGAATATTTTATTTTCAGTGAAGGGGGGAAGACAAAATACTTTTAGGCAAGTAAGATGGTTGGAGACTCTTCTCAGAAACTAGACCAGTTTCCAAATAAAATACGGTGTTTGCAATTTAGTTTTGTTTGAATTTAATGACGTCTGTAGGGAAGATTTTAATTTGGAGCTTAGCCTGACTGTCAGATCGGCTATATTTTAAAAAAATAATCAGCTCAGTCCTTTGGTACAGAACTTCTGCAAAGGAAATCTGATTTGAGGCATGAGATATCAATTTGCAATTAACTTTGTGAACATTTCAAAGCAGTATTGAGTGGTTATGGTGTGCATCTTCTCCTTGCTGAGTGGCTGAAGGTGTGAGGGAGGGGTTTGAGGATTGGGGTTTGTTTTTTTATTCAATAAGGAGGTGAATCTTGCAATTCTTGGAAGAGTACTTAGTCTGTGCTAGCTGGAGTACTCTGAAGTACTGTTACTGATACTGGGTCTATCCTACAATCCAGAGTATAATGTTGGGAATCTCCTTACAAAAATACTACGTTCACTTAGATATTGAAATCTTACTTCTGTAAAAATAATCATTCAGAGAAAATACCATTTCTTCCTGTAAACCTACTCATTACTGTTGCTTACAGCAAGCCTTGTCAGATCTATTTAATAGGTGAGGATAACAACAGGTAGAGGATGAGCTTTCTAGTTTGCTTTCATCTTCCTGCACAGCCATTAGCGCTTGGATTAATGCACTTTCTTGTGGTTACAGGTACAAAAAACCCACTGACTTTAAAAGGAAGAAATTGCAACTGTTGACCAAGAAACCACTGTACCTTCACCTCCATCAAACATTGCACAAGGAATGACCCCAATTGTGAGACCTCTGTGAACTGAACCACAAATCCTGGTAGCTGTGTAGTAGCCTTAGGCTCCGAGGGGCAGGAAGATAACTCTATTCATGCCAGTAGGTCACACGAGACCATCTCCCACTGCACAGCACTACTTCAGGGGCAGGAACAAGCCCACCATGCAAATGCAAGGTTTTTTTCAGTAACTTTCAGCTACAGGTTTCTCCAAGAGCCCTGATATAGGTTGACTGCTTTTCCTAAGTTTGCTGTTCATCACTTTTTATCTTTAACCATTCTTCTCCTTTTGCCTCAAGCTCCCCCTGAGGATGGAGAGTGCCCTTTGTCAAACCTGCAGCAATAAAGATGTGGCAGGTCTACTAACTGTTTACACTGCTGTGCTATTGTAGTTCCTCTCATCTGCATTTCAGAGTCCTCTGGAGTGGGCAGGGTGACAGAAGACTGAGAGAAGGACAAGGTGGGCTGGGAAGGAGCTTGAAGTACTGCAAGTGCTTTGAAGTGAGGGAGTGGAGGATGCAGGTCAGATGGGTGGCCACGAGTCCCTATGGTCAAGTCAGGAAGAGGACAAGTGCAGATGAGAACACTGAACATGTTTTGAATACATGTTAACAATCTTTTCAGTCACTGTTATTCCCTAATAGAGCTATTCTTTTGTCTGTCTTGTCACAGAGTAATTTGCAAAGGCAGATGGGGGATAAAGAGGCCTTCTCGAGGGTTTTGTCCTGGTTGCAGTGGGCGTTTTGCCATTTCAGTGACAGCAGGACAGGCCCTCAGTGCTGAAGTTTCCATTTTCCAGAGCTTTATATAAAGTAGGTCTGGCTAGCAGGCTGACCCACCTTCTACATGAAACTGCTGTTCTTATGGAAACTGATTGTATGCAGTTTTCTGCATATTTTGTGCAAATCTGGAAACTTACTCAAAAAATCGCCTTTTTATGTAAGTAGGTAGGATTATCATTTATTTTCTGTATTTTTTTATTTGGTGCATAATAAGGTGCAGGACATTGGCTTATTATGACACACTTGCATTCACCTTTTTGACCTGAAAAAGGGAAAGAAGTAGAACCCAGTCAAATCTTTCATATATTTGCGTGGATATTTAATACTTTATGGTTTGATAAACTTCTTGCATATCTAACTAGTGCCTGAATACTCTGCTATGCTAACTACAGACCCAGCTCCCAAAATAGCATCAATTATTTTAAACAGCCTGGATGCAGGTGAATCATCCATTCCTCTTTTCTGTCATTTCACCCAAGATGTTCCATCATGTGTTAAGGGAAGGGATGTTACTTTTCTTCATGCTGTTTGTCTGTCTCTATTCAGCTGTTTGGCATTTTTGGCTCTATCATATTGATTAGGATGAAAAGCTGGTTTTGAATGTCCTAATCTTCTTGCCTTTCTTTGCTCTGGTATAACTAGGAGTGACGTTATTTAGGTGTTACAACAAAAGTCAGCAATACTTTCCCAAATTCTACTGCTGGTTGGAGGTGAAAAAGGGCAGTTGAATTGTCCTGTTTATGGATCTTTACACTATCCCACTGGTTTTAAAGCTGATGGGTGATGATCAAGATACCCCTGTGAGTTATGGAAACTCCTCTGAATGCAGCATTCTGGACACCAGACTAAAGGAGAATACCTACACTGCTAAAAACCAAATACAAATCATCCTCTGAACTCTGCAAAAGGACAAAGCAAAACATTAGTCTGTGGTTGCAAGTAATCTGAGCTTGGTCCATTTACCTGTCAGTGGTCCCTGGCTGGCTCAGCACTTGTTCTGACCAAGGAATTGCAGGATCTGAGTGTCCATGAAAGGTGGAAGGGCTGGTTCTGGAGTTTGGCCTGGCTGCCATCCAGGGTAAGCACTGCAGTTGGGTGTGTGTGTCAGAGGTGAATGCTGCTGCATCCAGAGGGAGATTCCATCCAGCTTTTGTTACTGTTAGCTAGGATGGGCAAGGGGAGAGACACTATCACAAAGGTTTATATAGGGGAAGGAAAGATCCTGGACTTGGAGAACTTGACTTTTAATCACGGATGTTCATCAATGTGTGTATCATCAGCCAGCCACCCTGCAAACTGAAATACTGTCCCTTGAAGTACAAACCCATCGTTTCTGCTGCTTACCTGGACCCTTCCCCAGCTTGTAGATGCCTGTATTAATGCCAGTTTTATGAAATGTCAACTTGGAAGTATTTTTGTTAAATACACAAGTAGAGCTTTGTATTTAACTAATTGTGAATTAATGTCTGTTGAATGTGAAATACCATTTTTAAAGTAGCTTCTATCCCTTGCCTTTTTTCTGTGAACTGTCTCAGTGCCAGGACTGCTGCTGCACACACCACAGGCTTGGGGATTGTTTTATGCTTCAGTGATGTTCCAGCTTGTCTTTCACCTGATATCTAAAGCTTTACACTTGTACTGTAAGAATGTAATACCTAGATGGCAACTTTAATGGCTGCTTGTACTCCGGCAGTAAAGCTGTAATGGCTTCCCAGTAGAGTTTTTTATTATTCTGTATTGTTTTCCTTTTTTCCTCCCTCAGGCTGCCTTTTGGACAGTGCACTTGTGAGAAACCTTACTCACTGAGACAGTCAAAAGCCTGCTGTTCCAAATGCTTGCACTAACACTTGACCTGCCAATGTATGGTGTGCTTTGAAAGTTGTTCAGTGGTGGTAGCTGCAGTAGATGTTTACATACTCCCAACTCTGCTTTACAGAAAGCTACTTTCTTTTCTGATGGAAGTAAAAAAGGTTCTCCAAATCCAGCCTTCCTTTTAAAGAGGCTGAATTGCTCTTAACCCTGAGGAAGATGAAAACACGGTTCTCATACTTCACTTGATGCTACGAGGTGCTCTTGAAAGCAGAAAGCAATTAGGGAAATTGTAAGTTTCTCTACTGGAGAGGCACTGAGAAACACAGGTCAACTCCACAACCTCATTAAGGTTTCCAGCTCTGGAAGCTGTAGCCCCCATGGTCCTGATTACATGAAGCAAGTCCATATTCTGTGAGAGTAGATCAGCGTGAGGGTAACATGGTCATTACTGTGAAGCAGCATTAATTTGGCCTTGATTCAATTCTTGTCCTCAGAACTGTAGCATTCTCTGTCACATTACTGAACCAATGTCCTTTCTGAACAAAACATGGCACTGAAACAAAGCCTTTGGGGTTTAGCAAAAGGAATTTTGCTTTTTATTGTAACTTTCCTTTGAAAACAGTGTCATTTGTGCTTCTGATCTCTGACCAGACATCTTTTGAAAAAAACCCCAGAACCTCACAGTCCTCATGTAAACCCCTGGCCCACAGTAACTGCAGCTCAATGATGGGATGGAGAAGGCAGGTTGGATAGCATTTTACTTAAAAAATTATTTCCACAGGAAATGAACTGATATACATTTTTAACGAAATTAGTTCATTCGCCAACTGGTTACAAAGGCTACATTCAATTAAAACTCTCCGCAGAGGTACTTCCTTCCTATTGCACTTTTAGAGTAGGTTCAAGTCCATCACAGAAAGGTTCTTGCAGCCCAAGTGGATGGATGAGTTTGTGATCATAAATGCATGTAAGACATCTGTAGCAACGGGATAAAAATTAATCCTGCAAAAGCTGAGATATACTGAAATGAGACCAATATCTTCAAACCAAGAGCCATTTCCTAGAGTTGTACACACAGGAGCCGAGTCTGTGGGACCGGCCGGGTGCTGCAGGCATGGATTCTGCACTGGGGATGTGCGCAGTCCTTGGGGCCAGCTGCCCTCAGTCCCTGGGTGCCGGCGGAGGCAAGTCTCTGTTGGGAGAAGGAGCATAGTCCCTGGAAGCCTGCGGGGGTAGCCGAGGGCCTGGAGGATAATCCCGGGGGCCAGGAGGGCCGAGGGGGCGGAAGGGAGGGTGCCCACATGCGTAGCCTCTGGGATCAGGGGGAGGCGGGAGTGGGCCAGGAGGCAAACGTGAACTAGGTAAGAAGTCTCTTCCTGCTGGAGGTGGCAAGGGAGGACCACAAGCTAGAAGGAAAAGAAATCATGGAGTTAAATCTTGCTTTAACCTAAACAGAGAAGCTCCTGATTAGTTCTTTAATTTGTCATTTTCTGGAGCAGCTCTGGAGTGGATCACTGTTGCATGCAGGACTTCAAAGCCCATAAATTATTCTAGGGACTTTTGGCTGCTGGTTTCCATTTCGGAGTAAACAAGGAAAAATACCTTGGCATTAAGGAGCCTTGAGAAAGCCCACCCAATCCAAGCTTACTGGGCTTAAGGCTAAAGCCCATGAAGCATGAGGAAGCCATGTGCTTAGGAAAAGCAGCTGTGGGTGCTGCAGTCAGGCTCCAGGAAGTGAAGTGTCAGCACAGGGCACTGCAGCCATACCTGGGGGCCCAGGGAGAGGCCGAGGCCCGAAGTGCCCCCGCAGAGGAGGAGGTGGTGGTCCGTAGTGAATGGGTGGCGGTGGCGGAGGCCCCATCACTGGGGAGCTCATCAGAGGTGTCCCAGGGAAAGGAGAGGGGCCTTTGGCACCAGCATTACCCTGGGCAAGATGAGGTTACACTTCAGTGAGTTACTGCAGCAAACAAGCACTGACACTGCTGAACAACCCAACCACTTACCCAGAGGCAAACAGGTACAAGGGGGAGAGGAAAGAAAGAAAGAAAAATTACCCCAACACACTCCAAACCACATTAACCAGGCAGAAAACAGGGACAGCTACTGCACCATCATCATCCCTTCTCCCAGAACACTGCTGGCACTACCCAGGAGTGAGTGATTTAGAAAGACAAGTTTGTTAAGATGAAGATATACTAAAGAAAAGTTCAAGCCCTGTTGAGGTGTCCTTGGTGGACACCCCTTTGGTAAAGGACCTGGAACTTGGAATTATATATGGAATTGTGCTTAAACACCACAAGTAAGTCAGCTATAGGATTATTGTTTTAGTCACTCCAAAGAGTTTGCCCACAGTCCTTAAGAAACATCTTATTGCCTCAATCCCACAAAAACCAGAGAGCAACTGCTCATCATTAGAGAAGCCCTTTGAGACAGAGGGGCCAGCCCTTGGTTAGTGCCATAGAGCAGCTGTTATTCAGCAGTTCAGAACACCACGTCTATTACTCCTCTCCAAAGCAGCATCACCATGTCGAGCCTTGGAATACTCACTGCAGCTAGTTCCATGGAGGAAGGTGAATCTGTAGTTACACTGGGGGCTTCAGACTCTTTGGGAGAGGGTTGCTTTTGGGGTTTTTTTGAACAGCAAATAGGGTAGTGACAGGATACAGACAAGACAGAACATGATACAGTTAAAGAAGCAGTAGGAAGTAGAGTGAATCACATATTAAAAAGGTTTCCTGATGGCTGAGGTGTTCTCAACTCACCCTTCCATCAACTGCTGTGGAAGGGGAAGAGGTTCTTGGCTCACTGCTGATTACGGATGCCACAGCAGGCCCAATATCTAAAAAGAGAGCCATGAGTAAGTGTCCTACCATGCCAAGGGTAGGGAAGGTGGGCTTAAAATTGCCTTTTTGAAGGGAAAGAGTAATGAATAAGTTGCAGTTGGTTGCAGACCCCACAACTTACCAGGAACAGACATCCTTCCAGGCAGCTCTGGAGGCCTTCGTGGGGCAGGGGGGCCATCCACCATTGTACCTTAACGGAAACAAGAACCCAGAGACCCTAAATAACACAAGCCTGAGCTATTTCTTATTAATAAAACCTA